GGGATTTAGAATTTTCCACACTGGTAGGGGGACACCCCCTCCCCCCTCAGGGGCTTCGCCCCCTTGTGTCCGCTTACTGCCCCCCCTGGCATTTTGCTCAGGCTACGGCCCTGCACGTTGCAACCATGTTGACGGTACGGGAGCTCACAAATGAGAGAAATGACATTGTTTCTCTGAGGGAGGAGAGTATCAATGTTACCCAGTCAGCTGCCAGATATGGTGTATCTCATCAGCCTGTGTATAGGGTTTACAGAAGGATGGAGGACACTGGTGATGCCCATAAATTACATCGAAGTCGCAGCCCAAGGATGACTAATACCAGAGACGACAGGCGCCTTTTTATGCTGTCAAGGCTTAGGAGGTTTAAGCCCTGCAGGGAATTAACATTGCAATGGTTGCGCAGTTTGCAGGTTGTAATTAGCACAATAACTGTACAAAGAAGGCTCCATGCTTCAGGTTTTCACAGCAGGATTGACAGGAGGTAGCCACCCATCACTTGGTAAACAGATGCAGAGGAGTGACATGGGCTACAAGAACCATTGCCCGGACAGGGGCATCTCGATAGTCTGAAGGTTCGTAGGTCTGAAAAATCTTATTAGACAGGAACCCCCTTACATATTTCAAGATGATAACACTACACCAAACAGGGCCAGGGCAGTGCAAGAGTGGTATCAACAGGGTGGACTGGCCTGCCCAATCATCAGATGCAAAACCCCATTGAAAACCTGTGGCAAGATATTGAAAATCAAGTGGCAAAGGATCTCCCCTTTACCAGAAATGCTCTAATCCAAAGTGTCTTCAGAGCCTGGGCCAACATATCCCTCTCAAAATTCATTAATCTTTATCAGTCTATATCTAGAAAGAAGGTGTCCATATTGAGATTGTGTTGCTATCCACAATATTCTTGAAATTACTTATGACGGAATCTTTTGTGGGTTTCTTCTGCAAGAAATCTCTCTATTTGGCTTGCTGTTGGTCTTTCAGATGGTGTGGGGGAAAGCAGCTTTCCTAACTTCTCGCACCACATGGACGGCGGCGGTGTAAAACCCTTAAGGATAATAAGTGATGTCCAGTCAAGCTGGAAATTAAAGTCAAATGTTAAAGCCCCTTTCTCACAATATGAAGTATATGTATTCACAACAGGGAAAAGTGTTAAATCTTAATGGTTTACAATCTCTCCCGTTTCATTGTTTTTTGTTTGAGTTTAGTCAAAGTTTTTGAGAGTAGATCAATATTCGGTTATAACTGGTGTTATAGGAAGATTAAGGAGGGTAAATTTGTGTTTTTGAAACCCAGATATTTAAATCACGTGTGAAAGTTGAAGACACTGAAAATCCTGAAAACGTAACTTGCAATTTCTTAACGCTTACTTCTCATCCTTATTTAGACCATATGAAATAATCTATCAAATGAAAACCAAAAATCCCGAAATCAGGTATATTCCTAGAAACTTTCACTCATGTAATATAAATGGCTACATTTATGTTAATCACCGTGGGCTTCAGAATACGTACAATTTACCATCTCTACCAATGCCCACCAAATAAATGTGTAAAAGTTATTTGCAGTAGTTCCCGATTCTTAAACTCGAGTGAGACCAATTTCCCCTTTTGTCAAATGAATTTTATGATGAAATATGCCAGAGACGATATACTTCTCTGAAGCATATTCAGTGCGCACCGATTTAACAGTAACTCATTCAATGAAGTATAACTCACCTTCAAAAAATCTGATATATTTTCGAAGTTCTCAAAGCAAGGCAGATTGTAGGCACGTTTCCCATACCACATTTCCCAAAGCATGACCCCAATTGCAAACATATCTGCAGGTGCTCCGTACTTTTCCTTCTTCAGAATTTCTGGTGCCATGTAAACCAGTGTTCCACATAGTGTACCAGTGATGTCACACTGCGGTTTTGTCAGTCCCACATCAGCAAGTCGAACTTCATCTCTATCAGTTACCTGATGGCATCAAAGGAGTATTTGAAAAAGCGCATAGCATCATAAATTGGTTATGTACACAAATGTTTCGTATTTGGATCACATTTGTTCTGAACGGCAGCAAAGCGTTATACACAAAGTATTGAGTCAATACACAAATTTAATAATACCATGAGAAGTATATGTAGTATATGAAATGCAATTTTTTTTATAACTGATAAGGTCTGAGTCACTAAAACTTGTATCTTAGGAATAACTTCCATCCAACTTCAGACTTACCAATATGTTTTCCGGTTTCAAGTCTCTGTGAATGTATCCTTGAGCATGCATGCACCTTAGCCCAGTGCATATTTGCATACCAAAGTAAGCGACAGAACGCACGAGGCCAGGATATAACGGTTGCTTCAAACCAGGGTTTATGATCTCCCGTTGTCCTTTGGGACTTGTCGCATCTGCATTTAACATACGATTTGCAAGGGTTTTGGGGCAATACTCCATTAGAATGACAAGGCGCCTGTTACCATCTGGCTCTATGATGGCGCTGGTTCCTATGAACTTGATGATGTTAGGGGTTCTGTTAAGTCTCCTAGATCAACAAAAATAGTCAAACTGATCATGCCAAATGTAGCAAAATTATTTCCTCTTTACCGCATTAACAGACATAATGAATATTAATATACCCACCCGTTTCTAAACAAGTACCACATTAAAAGAACCTTTTTCGCCACTAGTAAAATAATTAAATAAGATGTAAACATCTATCCTAATCTGGACATCTCACCTTAAACTTTCCTCTTCTAGTATAGCCTCACCCACGTTCTCTGCTGTTGCAAACTGCTTCATCACCTTTGCCGCTGCCATCATGTTGTTTCTTGATAGAAGGGTCACGGTATAAACTTCACCAAACGTGCCAGTGGCAAAAGCAGGCAAGATCCATTTAATTTCTGTATTTGCGTTGATGTCTTCCCGGATTTTTGTCACGTACAACAACCCTAGGCATCCCTCTAAGGTATCATTCCACTGGAGCTTTTTCTGGTACAGTTGCAACTCAGATTTCGCTGTCTGACTTTCACTTAGCAACCCTTTTATGAGCTGAAGGTCATCATCTAGGAGTTTTGGAATAGCACTGAGTAGGTTATTCAGTGTGGCAACCGCAGAGTTCAAGTACCGCATCACCTCTTTCGACAGGTTTTCTTCGGACATAAAATGTTCGAGTACTTTTTCTGCAATAGTTTCCATGACTGCCGCTTTGTGTTTTGTATACTCTTTGATTTGTTTCTTCTCGTTCAGACGCTCTTTTAGTGCTACCCCAAGGGCAACAGGGACAACGAAAAGTGCAGCTACGAGGCCTATTGGAATCCAAATTGGAGAAGTGACGCCAATGATGACTTTCTCAGTGGTGGTGAAAGTAGAAGTGTCCTCCACGTCTCTTAAGCCTGTGGGGTTTGCGTCCTCGACTACAAGCATATCGTTGCTGGTTAACTGACCTTCCAAAAGAGCAACTTGGTTCTCCATGATGTTGAACTCTACGTGGAACTTTCCTATAAGCTCCTTCTGTGCATTTGTGAAGAACTCAGTGTTTGTGTTCCATTCCTCCAGTAGTTCGCGGATTCTCCCTAGGATGAGGGTTCTAGCTTGTGTGTAAAGATCATCCCAATGGTCAGTTGGCCTTGGACAATCGTCATCTTTCCATTTCAGGACACGCTCTTTATTCTTATGCAGGTAATCTTGGATTTGTTGTGCAGCTTGTTGAGCCTTTGTCTTTAAAAGCCCTAGCAATTTAAAACGCTTCCCTTCAAAACTGTTCTTTATCTTTCCAATCTGTCGCATGATTTCAGCAGCTTTCTTCTTACGTTCTTCCTCAGATCTTTCAAAGATGTTCAAAGCTGACTTTAGATGAAACGCGGATCTTCGCAGAATGTGAACTACTAATCTAAATTGGGTTTAAAAAATTTTCTGGTAAAAAGGTTATTGGTATTATGTTATAAAATAAAATGTGCTCATCCTTATAAACCGTTCACTAAATGACACACTGAATGACATATTTTATGGTGACCATAGTAAAGGAAACAGTCAAATAAACATTTTGTTACCTGTATTTAGTCTCCTGATTTGATTTTAGGGTCTTAGGAAAAAGTTTCTTCAGCCCAACAAGGAAGTTTGAGAACTCGGGTGTTGCACAGCCCTGTTTTAGTGCACTTTGAGCCTGATGTATGCATAATGAATTATGAAAAGATAAGAAAATAGAAACACTATTACAACAAAAACACCTTTCGCGAATATTTTAAAAGCATTTCAAGAGACGTTTTGTGGTACCAGATATATTAAATAGCATTTTGATCAAACATTTCGTAGAAAGGTTTTTTATATATCAAAAATATTATCAGAATTGTTTGACTTTAGAAATATCCCAGAAAAAAGAGAAAATCACTACAATTACTAAATATAGGGATAAGGTCTGTAACGGTCCATTTTCGAACTTGACCTGAACTTAACAGCTATAAATATGCTCAGGGCAGTGCAGATCCTGCATTTAACTCTTAAGTTATCGCGCCTCGAGGAAGATTAGAATTTCTCTATACTTCCAAGATAATAGTTTGATTGGAACCATTTTCGAATAAGTTCTGTTTTATTTGAAGGAGATGAAAGGGGATACAGAATTGCAAAACCATATGTTATAACGTCCCGAAAACCAAAGTGCAAGGCTTTAAGTTCTCTTGCTTAAAATGATGGAATACTCCAAAGGATATTGCATCTGCGACTTCAATAAGTTCAAACTAAATTCAAATATAGAAGTATAATTCAACCAGTTTTAGTTGAGTATTATTCCATGTTCTGCTTGGGGTTTGTTTTTGTTTGTGTTTATCCTGGCGACAATTATAAAAATGTTAAATTACCGGCAATTTATAGTGAGGGCATATGCCATGTTCAAAAAAGCCTGGATCAGAGAAGAATGCAAAAGACAGTGTTGTAGAATTAACAATCTAATGACACAGAATTTCCGCGTTTTCGACACGAAACAGATGGCGTCGTCTATTTTGGATCAAACAGTGTCTACTGTTGAGCTATGTCCGAATCAGAAGCCTGTTGTTAACAGACCTTCTGATCCATAACTGGATTTACATGTACTAGGTATAGAACGTCCAATAAAGTGAAAAAACTCACCTTTGTCACCGACATAGGGAAAAGCTGATCTGCAGTAAAGCCGTCACAGATGTTTTGCAGCTTGCGAAGAGTGTCTTTGAAAACATCATCCTTCTCTTTTTCTGGCACCTGGTCCCATTTGTTGAGAACAAAGATGGCCGTTGAAGGATTGAACAGACGAACTCCAGAAGCAAGTTTTTCTGTGCCACTATTTTTGTCTTCTGTCTCGAATTTACCCCTCACTACATCGCTAAGGAGATCCTGAAGCTACAAAGAAGAGACAACGCATCGATAGTTATATACGTACTAACTTCACCACTGAAATTAACAGAATATTTGCATTGGCGTCTTGTCCTGCCAGTTTAAAAAACCACTACTTACTCTTGCCTCAAAGCTACTGTATTAGGCCTGTTCGTATGATATTCATATTTCACAAGTCATACGTAAACAACTCAGAAAAATAAAATAAATTCAATTTTACCACCAAAAAGGGGTTAACACAATTATTCCTGAATGTGTGCCTGCCATCAGACCACGTGGATCTTCATAGATGACTATACCTCAGCTATAATCTCTTAAGAGATTAGTACAAAAAATTGACTTAAGTTGAATGACTGAATGGATTCATTAACCATTGATTAGTGTGAAAAAATCAGCGTTTGTCCCATGAAAATCGAAACAAACAATAATTATCCTTTTCACCTCCAAAGGGAGTTATGCGAAGATGCGAGAACTACAAGCGGTGGGTTTCGCCTTTCTCTTCTTTCAAAGTTTTAACCTTTGCAGAAATGAAATTAGCACTAAACTTATTGAATTCTACAACTGATCTGGATGCTGCCCAGTCATACTAATCTCTTAAAAAGTAAAATAGTGAAGAGAGAACCTTATTTATCTAAACGGACGATATCACTTACTTCCTAACTTACATGTACTGATTTAACCCCTTCATCCCATGAGGGACATGAAGTTGCAACCATGCCCTCCTACCGACTATTATTCATCAACATAAAATGTTTGAGGAAAGAGGTGAAAATTGCAATAAGCGTTACCCTATCTTCTTGCACTCCTCCGGCCACCATGCTGTTGATGACGTAGATGAAGGAAAATGCCTTGGCCAAGTAACTCTTCGTAAGTTTTGTCATCATTTCACTCTCTCCTATACCCGGGCTGTCCATGATATAGACACCTCCCTGTAAATAAATGTTTTTATATGCCTTTAATATGAAATATATTTTACATATGTGAATAAATTGTGAACTTCTTAAGCCATTGCAACATCATTTTACTGATAGCCTGTTTCTAAGAAATGGATGCTAAATTTGCATTGAAATATGTCTTGTTTCATTATACTGATTAAGAAGGAAAATATTTAATGTGACGGTCATTTCGCCACGAAATCTTTATTTTCAGAGATATGTGGGTACGATTCATACTTTTTATGGAACTAATTTAACGATATGTCATTCTTTGAGATATAATATTGGTTCAGGGTCTCCCAAAATTTGCCAACGCGTAGCTTTTGTTACCTGTAACAGAGGGATAGGCCAAAATAACTGGACTCTGTTGTATGGGAATTCCTTCTTCCCTCGTCCTTCTTCCTGGAATATGTAAGGCTTCAAAACCTCAAGAGGATCTGGCACTTCCAGGTCCAAGGTAACAGGTTGTAAACTGGTGTCCCAGAAATGTGCAACAGCCTTCCTTTGGTCGCCGTACCTTAATTCACACAACACTGCTGTACAACTGAAGAAATCCGTTGGAAGAAGATCTTCCCCAAGGAGTAGATTCAACAGACAACTCTTGCCAGCACCGGTCTCACCTGAATTATATATATGAATGAAATATGGCAAATACTGAAATGTTACAGCAAAGAGTCCGATTATTATGCAAAATCAATATTAATGCATGATCGCGAATTTACACAGTCGTGTGCTAATGTAAACAAATGCCAGTTGACAGATCGTAGGAGAATGGGCTGGCATGGGCTAAAAAGCAGAATATCGCAAGTCATGGCACAAGTCATATAGAGTTCATATAGTTAAAACCTAATTTTAGATTTTAGATGTTTTAGATTAAAAATACATGTAGGTCTACAGTTGTCTCATCATGGCAGGGCTAAGTCTTAACTCTCGACTAAGAACTTGAAAATTAAAGGGGCCACTATGGCAGATATTGTTCTGATCAATCATGTTTAAAAGCTTCATGGCCAGAAATGCGCAGCATTCACGCGATACGCGAGGGCGCTACAGTAGGGCTTCACGTGACTCAACTAGCCAATCACAGCACAACAATGGCATCGCACACAGACTCTGTGATAAGTGCTCAGCCCATTGTCAAGTAGTGTTAATTCATGGTAATAAGCGTCTGACATGTGCAGAGATGTTTATTGTAATATATATTGTTCTTATTGTTACATTATTAAATCTAACTCTGTATACTGAGTAGTGATATTGTAAGTCAATTTATGAAGAATCTGATAATATGATTGAAAATACGATTGAATTCTTGGCCTTGCACTGGGCAGTTTCACATTTATGCCAAGTGCTTTTTTTGGACTCCATTGTACAGTGGTAAAAGTTCTTCAATTGCCACGAAAGTTTTTAATCAGACTCTGTATGGTGCTGCTATCTGCTGGTGCTATCGGCAACGAATTAATTTGCCTTTGTTTCTGAGTGAATCTACCGTCTAAAATCACTATTTCTGAAAATATGTGCTTTTTGCTGAGGGTAGGTTAGGCAATACACGGCAAACTTCTTAGTACGTGTGTACAACAGAATTTTTTAAAAACCCTAGCGATATTTGGTCAGGAGTTGCTTGAAGCATAGTACAGCGTTGCTGTCTATCGGCATCAGGCCGCTAGTTTGTCAATTATCACGAATTACCCACGAATCGCGAACCCATTCATTTTCCTATGGCAATCTAGCAACTCATTAAAAGTGCACGCATGCGCAGTGGGCTAAGCGTGACGTCATGCAGTGCATTTCTGGGGATGTAAAGCCCTCTTTAATCATTCAGATATACCTGCTACTAAAATTCCACTTTCGCTTTTAGAGAGTTCTCCAATGCTTTCACTTAATCTTTCTACAACTCGCGGAATGTTTTGATTTAGGTCATCACGTCTCCTTTCTGGTAAACCAGAAATATACTCAATCGTGTCTTTGTATAATTGCTGTAGCTGTTTTCTTGTCTCTTTATCTTCCTCCAAGGCATCTGCCATTAGTTCAGCGGCCTGAAATGAAAAATAAAGCGACCATTTACAAAATTTGACTTCCAGTCAGGTTTTGGATGGAAGTCCACTTTTTAGAAATATTTTGACTACGAACGGCCTCTAAATATCCTTCGTTTGTCTCCTCATTTAGGTTTTGTAGTGAATTAAAACTAATATATAGCATATGTTAAGTTGTAGGCCTGATTAAATCTATAAAAAGCGAAGTGAGAACGGATATCATGAATTATTACCTACAGCATTTTAAACTTACATTCAGTGGGTCCTCAGCCACACCTACACCATGTAGTTTCAAGAATTTTCTCAATCTGAGGACTACGTCGTCCTTGTTCTTCACACCAGCGTGATCTATCCCTAACTCTCGTAACTTCTTTATGCCTTCTTTCAAATTGGATATACCATCTATTTCAGCTAACGAAATTGGGGGTGAGTATTGGCCAGCCATTTTTTCTTTAGGAATGCAAAAAAGAAATAAAAATAATATTTTGTTATCTATCTATGACACCCCTATTTAATTACACACGCCGTACAAAGAAACTGGCAGTTCACCTGTAAATTACTTGGCCATTTAACATCGTTATGCTGTTAACAATGCAAAGACCAAATTGGGATGTGGTCTGGGTCACTTAAGAAGTGTACTATACTGTGATCTGGCCTGTGACACATATAATCGAAGAAAAATGTCTTCCCGCCCTTCAAAAAACAGTGTCATTTTGATGCATGCGGCGTATACACTCACCTGCCTGTTGGTCACAAAAACAAAAGCAGTATGGATCCTGTTTTTTAAGACGCTAATAGAAGGTATCGCCTATACTACATCTAAACTTAGTAATGTTCTCCCCACCTGAGATCCTTCTTTCTCAACAACGACAACGCCCAGAGTATACAAAATAGGTATATTTATCAATTTTTCAAGCACACCTGGATGTGCCGTTGCAAAAACATCTTTGACCTACATTATTGTTATACAAATGATGGCAGCTGATCTGGGGGTCGATTTAGTGGAAGTCGCACATTCTTGGAAGAGATTCGTTTAGCCGAAGAGCACTACATCGTGGAGTTCCTTTATCCTTTGTTTCAATCCACGTTATGTCCAGTTAAGGTAAGTTTTATGCCTGATTCTGTTATATTTACTGACGTACGAATTAACCAGTGACCCTATTTGCACGTGGATAACGCAGTCTGACAACACAATGGACATAAGCAGGTTTTTCGGTTAAAGTCACGTCATGTAATTCATATTGTGTTTTTTAATACATATTAAAATGACGGGATTCTATCAAGTGGTCATAATGATATAAAGTGCATGAAAAATGCCTACAAAACGTATTTTAGACACCGTTACAATACATAGATCGATCTAGCAAGATCCACCCAGATCCAACAGGTTTCTCGCTAAATTGCATTCAGCTTCAGTCATTTAGATGTCTAGCACGCCTACTGAAGTTGTTTAACGATAGTTGTTTACCCCCTAATAGCTTCAGTAGGTGTGTCAGATATCAGAGCCGCTTAAGCGGAATGCAATTAAACGAGAAACCCTTCGGAGATGGGTCGATCTTGCTATGTCGATCTTGGTTAAGAAACGGGGTCTTACTTTTATTGCAATATACTCAGATATTGCTGTTCTGGATTCAATCTCTTTTTTTTTCGCCGACCTCAGTTTCTGGGGGAGAATCATTGCTTTTTCTTCGGACAAATGATGTGTCTCAACAGATCGCGTGGTAATCTAGATGTATACTTATACCACGTGATCGTAATGCATTGACACATGCCTTTTGAAGTTTTGCAGCAGAATGGCGAATAATGTTCACGTCGTAATTGAATCATTGTTTAAGCCCCCAGCCTATTTGCTCCCTTCTGTAAAGTGAGGGTCTCAACAAAACGCATAACAACAACAAAACCACCAGGGGGTGTTAGTGAACTAGAAGCCTATATCTTCACCCTCAGCAGAACTAGAATAGTCCTATCTGCGATTTAAGTCAGTCACATGTATGCTAAGATTCACAAATACAAGTGTATATGCTTGTTGGGTCCCAGATATATGATATGAAGCCATATAACTCCTCTTTTCAATGCACAACGCTTGTCGTATCGATTGACCTCGACTGCATTGCCATAGTGATAACCAAGGTGACAAAGAGACAGACTCGGCTGTTACCTTGATGGGTCAATGGATCTGAATACAACACAGAGCCTCTTTAGAAATTAATGCCTTAACGCCCCTATTTGACGATTTTGATATCTTGCTTCAAGCGTGCTCGTTCAACTTCCCATGCCCTAGTCAAATTGACACATAAATTACTATAGGAGGACTTGAATCATCCCCCACAACAAAGTCTTATGCTCAGGTGTTATTCTTAAATTTTGTTAAGGCTTTCAAAAGGATTAACACACAATATCTCAATGAAAAAAATTAGAAATTCAAGTGATACCAGACTTTCTAAGACGATGGATTTATTCCTTTCTTTGCGAGTAAAATGCAGTAGCTTTAATACTGATTGGTTGGAGGAGTGCTTCAGGGTACTAAATTAGGCCTAACTCTTTTCCTTGCAATGATCAATGACCTGAAAAACGTGTTGTCCAGATGTTGATGATACTTCCATTTACGAAATTTGCAAATTCGGCGAAACACCACATATATTGCTTTATAATTTAAAGTTTATTGTCGATTTTCTTTTAAACATATACTTTGTACAACTTCAACCGTAGGTTTCCAATTTTACCTAATAAACTATTATTATTATTATTATGATTATTAGTATTATTATAATCACCATAATCACCAGCATTTTTGTATTACTCTCAAGGCCAGTAATCTTTTAATCTAATTTTGACACAGATAATAGTGCATTTTCTCTCTTTTAAAAACACCGACCCATTCACATCTTTATCATTTTTAGGTTAAAAACACAAAATACTTGGAAATAAGAGGCGGTAGCAGCAATGGCAAATATAATTGACATAACTCTAGACACCATCGAGTCTTTGAACGACTCCGTGGAGGCCTTTGATATTTGCGATCGTTTTGAGATATACACTGACGACATTGAAGATCTACAGGATCTAAAAGAAAGGCTTCGCTTACATTTCGAGGCAGAACACTCTCAAGTTCCCAGATTGGAAAGGGTATAGTCTATGTCTTTCTTTTTATTCAAATATACTCACGTTTACTTTTTTTGCGTTTGTTTTGTAAACATAGAGGCCAATCAGAATAAAAAACCCGAGGGTCTTCTGATCCACGGATCAAGTATGGCGGACTCTACCTGAAAGAAGACCCGACTAATCTGCTAATGGTTTCTCCGTTTCACACGCTCTGTCATTGCAGAGGTCCAGCAATTAAACCTTCGGCTATTGATTCAATCCGCTTAATGGCGCGTGTGGAGGTGGGGAGCCCATCTGCGGATTTGTCTGGTCTTCTTTCATGCAGGGTCCTCCATATTTTAGACGTGGAGCAGTTGATCCTCGTTTTCCTTATATCAGTTGGGTATATTGAATATGTTGTTGGGAGCCAGGGTGCAAAAGTTACTGTATGTTTATCTAAATATATATAATTTTAGGCCGCTGATGTTTTCGCTGAACTACGAGAGAATGATACGCAAAGAAGAAATGCACTTCAGTCGATCTTTAAAACCATTAAGGAGTCCCTACCATTACTTGACTTGAGCATCTTAAAGAGACTGGAAGCTGAGAATGTTGTATCTGAGAGCGCAGACACAAACGTGCGTAAAAGGATCACCATGCTCGAAACTGGTAACTGCCCAATACTTGTAGCAGGTAGGAGTTATTAACCAAACAAGTCACTGTTTATAATCAAATTACTGGGCAGTTTTATCAAAATACTCTTCCTCTGTTAATATGTCATTCAAATTATATATACTATTGAGCTCATAATAAATTAGATGTTAACAAAAGTAACAGTTTTTTATAACTCAACTGGTAGTGATATTTTTATTTTCATTTATGAATTGATTGTATTACATGAACACAATACATGTTTGCTCACTGTGTTATCGTTAGCCAGTCGTTGAGCTACCCAATGGAGCATGGGGTGTTACCCCCAGACGTGTCAGCTCTAATACCTTATAATTATTGCTGTTAACAAGTGAACGGCCGGATAACAACCTGGAGCGTTTTTCTGAGCTCAACCTTTTACAACATGTGCAGTTGTAAAAGGGAACACAATCACAATATCCGATGATTACACAAGCACGCATACGCATACTTAATAAAAAATACATGTATTTTATCCATATGATATTTCTAGATTGGGTCATTGATTTTTAATTTTTTTATTCAATCAATTCTATTCACATTATTTCGCATTATCGGTTCATTCATTTATGTATCAAACATTGCTTTTTACATATGTATTTGATTGTTTGTTTATTACTTTGGCCTTATTGTATATATATATATATATATATATATATATATATATATATATATATATATATAATGAAATGCAAAAAGTACTTCGTCAAGGCATTGTTACTAATGTGTTATGAAGGCTTTATCATGTTATTTTCACTTACAAGGCTTTTCACATTCTAGGCGAAACTTCTTCGGGGAAGAGCACGCTTTTGAACCTTCTCCTTGGCAAAAAGATCCTACCGGAAGCCCATTTAAGCTGCACAGCAGCGATCACAAGAATAAAGTATGGAGAAGAACCTAGAGTATTCAAAGTGACACACCAACCCGACGGCAGCAGAAAGTCGTCGGAAGTCCCCATAAAGAAGCCTGATGATTTGTGCTCGTCTTTGGAGCCTGTTCTATTTCCTAAAGGTGCAGCGAGGGAGGATGAACTGGAAAAGTGCACTGTTGATGTTTATTTGCCATTTGAACTGTTAAAGGTAATGACGTTTATCATAAAGACAGGGCTTATGGAAAATGATGTATAGATTGTGTTTCTTAAAGATATACCTCTATGTACGTGTAAAATTGTGACATGAAACTAAATTGGGAACTGGTATGTACATGTAATTTCATAGAAAATTGTCTAAGGTATGACGCCTTTATATTAAGTATCCACAAAATGCATAAACAAAATTGTGTTATGCCCTTAGAGTGGTGTGTATATCATCGACAGCCCTGGTATTGGTGAGAGTGGTGTCATGGATGACGTGGTTCTTGACTTCATTGCCAACAATGACGTCTTTGCCTTCATTTACGTCATTATGACTGATAAGTCAGGCGGAGTACAAGAAGATAGGGTAAGTTAAATGCAATAATATTTCCCACTGATATTGTATTCTAAGCTTTTCTCAATTCTCCAATAATATTGCTTGAAATGTACTTGCTCAGTTTTCCCCAGACATAATTGCATTAAAAGCATTTGAGTCTGTATTGCTTAAAAATATTCAAATCAACATACTTAAAGTTGCGAAGAGCCCTTGCGGGGTGAACATGAACTTCCTTTAATTAATATAAGTGACCATCAGTCACCATACAAATATATTCGCCCTCTTACTCCTTTGTTAAAATAATGGAATATTTCGAAAACAAGAGATGATTTAATTTCAAAGTTCACCGTAATAATTGTCAGAAATATGAAAATAGCTTAACTATCGTCACAATGGTATAAGTGTAATAATTACCTTCTTAATACACAAGAGCTGATTAGATTTGATTACCTTATGGTTATGTAACATATCTGATCACACTGATGGGTCATGTGCATTTTTCACTGTTGGTGGTGTCGCATGTCAGTTTTGTCTAGTGCTTTTATAGGTACTACTACTATATACTTTCACGCAGTCGGGCGTCTAGGGCACCGACAAAGATCTCCCACTGCGCTCTGTCACGAGCTAGGTGTTGAATAATTCCCCGGGTTTCCCTCAGTTGTTTCAGGTCTGTCTTAGGTCTGCCTCTTTTTCTGTGTCCCTCTGGTGTCTAGTACATGGTTACTTTTGTGGTGAAACTTGGCCAATCCATTTCCATCTCCTTTTCTTGATGACTTTACTAACGCTTCTACGGTTGGTTTGTTTTAACACGTCTTCATTGGATATAGTCCTTGATTTGTTTGAGGCTTGAGGTGTGAAAAGTAGATACTGTAGCTTCCTGAGGTAAATCGTAATATCATCCAGCGGTAGGTCAAAGAAATATGTGTGATCAGTCATCGGCAGTGGTTTCCCACCTAAGACTACAACCTGGAAGGATCGTATGCTCTACCAGATGGGTCGTCAAAGAACAGTTGTCAGCTTTTTCTCAGAGGACTCAGAGAAAATTTTCTTCACCTAACAGAAGAACCCACATTACAATGGACCCATCAACTTCATTGCCTTCACGTGCATTACTAGGTGCACGTTTGGTTTTCCGATAAAATGTAGTTGTTTTTTCATAGTACTGATATAAGAATCTTTCTTCCATGTCAATTTTGAGATACCAGTAGGTTTGCTAAATACTTTTTGGGTTAGAACTTGCCAACGGTAGTAGTCATAATAAAGGTGGAACCATCATCAAACCAAGCCAATTTGGTCTTTTTTCTATTTCAACAAGCTTCATCGGGATCAAAGAACGCAACAATTCTTCAATGGCCTACCGGGCAAATAGACAAGCCTGCCTTTTCTCCTTGTTCGAATCCCATAGAGCATTTTTGAGATGCTCTAGGCTGTGCAATAAGAAGGAAAGAGGACTGGCCGACTAAACGAGAGGAGCTGAGCCAGGCCTGATCAGGCTTTTGGTCAAAGTGTATATAAAATACTCATTAACAAGCCTTATACCACTATCCCAGCTCACGTGTTCACTAGAAGTTTTTCTGATTTCATTTTTTACTGTTTAAAATCCTAAACGGCCACCAACAGTCAGGAATAATATTTTCGCTAAATTGACTTAAACATTTTAATAATTTAAAAATAATATTTGTTTTCAAAAATTACTTTCAGCTCACTTCCAACACGTTCCATTTAATCTAATATGTGTGATAGCCTTTTCTTTCTCGTTTGAAGATGAGAGAATAAATGAAATGATTTGAAGTGTGCAAAGACCATATGATAGCATCTTTATCTTATTATTTATCTGATGTTCTTTCCGTAGATCCAAAAATTGCTCCGGCAACTTCAAGATATGAAGGATACTGCTGGAGAGCCAATATTTGACCCTGGCTGTGCTATTTTTGTCTGCAACCGCTGGGATCTGGTGCCAGAGGACGCAAGGGAAAAGGCTTTAGAGAACGTAAATTTGGCAGTAAGTGAGGGCTGGAACCGGCCCATGGATTCATCAAAGCAGATATTTACCCTTTCTGCTAAAATGGCGTGGCAGCACAGTCAGGCTGGGTACATGACTCACGACTACAGGCGGCTGGTCAGAGGCATCAAGGGCCTGATTCCAGTGAGTTTGCAAAGAAGGACGGAGCATGTGCACCGGTGTGTTTCAGTTTATTTATTTCTTTATTAAAGTAAACTCATTCCGTGTTCCTGAGTAATAATACGACACCCAATTTAACATTATGTTAATAAACAATATCTATTTGTAATGTGCGTTTACATTTTTATATAGCGCGCTGATTTTGAGCCAGTTCCTGAGGCTGTTTAAAATATTTTTCATAATAGAGGTTATTTATACTATGTTTATTTTAGATGGGGCAAACATATGGTAGAGCGCACTATAGATTGTGCTCAGCAGTATCTTCATTCTGCCAATTTGACAAGGGATGAACTTGAGGCTCAGCACAACTCCCAGAAGAAACGGCTGGACAGACTTGAGAAAAAGTCGGAAGAAATTTTGAAAAAACTAGACGAACATCTTTATAAAGAATGTGAAACCATTACTGATTCTTTATCTAAATATCTTAGCAGCGATCCTGTCTGTGCTCAAGTTACCTCTTGGACCAATGCCGAAGCTCCTTATGGGTTTAGTTGGAACTATTTAGAAGGAAGAATAGAAGATGCCATCTGTAAAAGAATCATTGATGCCATCAGGTCTTGGGAAACGGACGAAAAACATTTTGAAACTCTGAAGAAAGACTTGTTCAAAAAATTCACTAGAGAATTCCAGTTAATTGAATCTGAGCTGCGCATGATTGAAAACATGCTGGAACGGTCCTCGGAAACAGATTCCAGTGAAAGTAGAGATTTGGCGGCCTACATGGAATTACAAGACCTAATGGACAATGAGGTGAACAAAATGTCAATTGTAGACTTTAACCTAGGTGAAAAAATTGCACTCGGTTTATTTTCACCTATCATTTTACCCATTGGTGCGTTGGGTATGCTTCTCGCGTCACCGGCATTTCTTTTTGTTGACGTAAAAAAACATGTAAGGAAGAGGAAAGAAAAACAAATCTTAAAGCAATATGACCAGAAGAAATGTGAATTTCTTCGAGATAGGTCATCCGAGGCTTTGAAAATAATGGCTAAGCGTGATGTTACAAAGGCCTACGTCGATGCTCAACTCCAAGAGGCCAGGGATCATCTACAGATGATGCGCGAGTCCATTCCACAGCTTATATCATCAACAAGAAAGTACATGCAGTCCATTAAAGAAGATCAACGGTCTAAAGAGCAGCTCATCGACACCTATGACCCTGTCGTCAAGAAGTTTACCAGAGTTAACCGTGCGCTGGAAGATTTTGCTATTACACGTCTTTTATCGTACGATTATAACGAGACAGATGTGGAAGCAGACATCAGACTTGTTAAAGGACCAACGTCATATAAAGGAAACTGGACTGAAGTTTTCTCTGCCATCTTAAAATCTCCAAAGGGTCAATCCCTCAAAATATCTGTAAAACGATATAAAGGGGCTACATGTGAAAAGCAAGTACGTGAAGATATCATTGAAATGAGGTGTGTAGAAATAAGAAGTTAACTCTTGTTTGTCTTAAACATTCTCTATGTTTACTTCAGTTTAGTTTTTTCTTTCTTAATTGTAGAGATTTATGGCTGGCACCATACATTAAATAGGACATAACACAAGGACAAATTATTTTTTCCAGAAAAATGAAGCAACAAAAGAGGAGATTCATTCCTACCATACTGGGTACTTATTTGGACCCCACAACTGAACTGCCATCTCTTATCTTGACCCCGCGTTTGACCAGTTTGAGGGTCCTCAGCAGTGGCAAGGGTAGTCGAAAAGTCGTCCCGGGTCAGCTGGTCCAATGTTTACTCAAAGAACCGATAGATTGTCTAATCCAACTGGCGGCTGCCTTGGCCTACCTGCACAAGAACGGCTTCGTCTGTTTGGATTTGTCTATGGATACAGTTATGATCACCGTGAGTATTTATAAAAAAGAAATATCAAATTTTATCTTGAATTCTCCTTTCTCTTGTGATTTAGTTTGATTTTGTTGCTTTTTGACACAGAGCGCAAAGAGCATTACAAGAAACAAATAAACAGTCGCGAACTCACAACCTTGTACAAGATAAGGTGTACAGGTATCAGGACAACCCCCCATCCGGACAGTTCCCCCCTGACAATTCCTCCCTGGACAATCTCCCCCCCCCCGGACTATCCCCCCCCCCCCCGAAGAATAAATAATTATATTCAAATATAAAGTAAAGAGTATGAAGCTCAAATCTATTAATCTATTGTATGGATATTTCTTAGTGTGATAATGCATCTCAAAGATAGAAGATATTTAATTCATTAAACAAATTATTTTCATGTAATACAAGTACAGGAAATTTCAGAAATAGAAGTAAAGAAAATTTTATTAAAAATCTTATCAAAGTATATCTCCAGGTAAAGTGGGGCAAACAAATGATCTCACACATCCAGGTAACATTTAGATGAATTTAGTGTTACTTTTAATTGCTAAAATATCCGTCCCCCTGATTAAGTAAGCCTTGCACCAGGGTGCATCTCTAGGGAGAGGTTGGGTAAACATATTCTCTCACTCATACAGGTATCCATTTGATTATATGTCACTTTTAATTGATTGACAACTATCCACCTACTCACTTCCCGCCGTACAAAAAGAAAAAGAATTAAAAAATGTTTACCTGTTGAACTGTTCATATGTTTACCCCACCTTTACCTGGTTATACTTTGATTAAATATTTAATAATACTTTCTCTACTTGTACTCAACTCGGGGGAGGGGGGGTGTCCGGGGAGTATTGTCTGGGCGGGGGGATTATCGGGGGGGGGGGGGATTGTCCTGGAATCTGGTGCACATGGTGGAATTGACCGTGTGTAATGTGTAATGATATTCCAAAAGAAAGATATAGTTGTATGGTGGCATGGAGAATCGCCTAGTAATATGTAAAGGAAATTACTAGAAATTTTACACATACCTGTTTACACACATACCTGTTCACTTAGGGGAGTTAGGTCGCAATAGTCTAACACATTAACTTCACGGTAGCACTTGCTTAATCCTCTTTTTTTCTAACGTGACTGGCGTACTCATTCTCCGTATTTTACTCAACGTCAAGAGGAGGCGTGTTAGTCTGTTAATCTGATTGCATTCAGCGAAGGTCCCCGAGGAGTAAGTGAGCTGTTGCGACCAAGTTCATTCTGAACGATCCCTTATATCTTTTATAGGCTGGGCGGGATAAAACCGTGAAGTTAGTGAACATCAGCAAACCTGTCACGATGCCACCCCCAGATCCCAACTCCACCATAGGGTCTATGGTTTATCTCCCCTACAGCGTCCTCGATGGCACCAAACCTTACGATGCTGATGCCAACATCTACGCCCTTGGGCTCATGATGTGGGAGATATGGCATAATGAACATGTGTACAAAAGCCAGAGAATTCTTGTAGTTGGAGACTTCATTGCCGGCATTAGGCAGGGCAACTTCCCCCCAGAGTTTGAAACTGGTAAAATGGACCCGACCTTGGAGGCATATTGGGAGAAGACCATGAGGGCTTGTCTATCCGGGGAAATCGCCATAAAAGACTGCAGAGATCGGATGCATGGAATAAAGGATTTACTGAACCGAAAAGAAAGTGCTGTGTGATGGTGTTAATTGTCATTAAACGGCAGAACAGGTGACCCTATTTTTATTAAGGGGGCATGTATTTAATAAAGAGCACTTTGATCTTTAAATATGATATTCATTACATAGAGCATGCAGTGTACCTGTTGATTTAATTTCCTAGATTTTGTGCAGGGTAATCACATATTCATACAAAGATCGTGCCATGTACATGTACTTGTCTAATGATGATTCATCTTTGAATTCGCGTTAATCTGTGTTTTTGTTTGTATGTGTGTGTTATAAACTAATGCTTAAGGTTTGCTTTTTCAGCGGCAATTTTTTTATTCCATTGACTTGTACACTACTATTTATACATAATAACATTTGTTTCTTAAGTGAATATTCTTTGGAAACACATATATAATATATTTAAAATTTCATTAACTCAAGAAAATATTCACTGCAAACTTTTAAAGAAGGAACCTAGAATTCGAAACTTGGCTTTTTTCAAAAACGACTCTGTCACTTTATCGTAATTAAAATCAATTACTATTTTTCTGTTGTTTAAATGAAATTGATATTACAGTCAACGACTAGTCTTATTTCAACGAGCCAGAGTGTGTGGATAAAAGAATCAAAAGTGCAACTAACGGGAAGTAAAAGATAGCAGCATAAACATTAGTCATTCTTTTAAGTTGAGATGAAAGGAATTAAAATGATTTGATTGAGCGCTTCTAATTCGCTTTTAATAAATACTTATACAGAAAATAATAAAAAAATATACAGCATTGGTCAAAAAGGTTGTCCCACCCCCATTTCCATGTACTTTTATTTACTAATGATCACCTCACAGCTGTGAACTGTTAGCAATAGTGCTTTTTATTAAGGACACCGTGTCTAACATGATTAATGGTTAAAAAAATACAAAATAGTGGTGAAAATATACACATTTTATAGCATTTAGTAAAATTTATAAGAGGTATCCCCTCAAATCGACTGTTTCACTGTGACTTCTACAGATGTAAAGAAATATCTATAAAATTGAAAAGACGCCATCAAATGTCACCAAATTCACACACAATTAGCATTAGGGTGTGCTCGTTAAAGATCACGTGCACAACAGCGTGTGCGTCTACCGCGTACTGCAATTATCTGCTGTAGACGGCGCGACAAGCCTTCAACACGGGTAACAGTTCTGTTTTGTGGGATATTGTCCCATTCTTCTTAAACAAGTTGGGGGAGTTGGTCCACGTTTTTATGGGGTTGGTTCTCCTCTGCAATGCACATTCCAATTTATGCCACAGGTGCTCAGTAGGATTAATATCAGGACTCAGAGACGGTTGTCCCATCCTCAGAGCCCTGTGTTTCTGCAACAAATGTGTGCCAGACGAGAGCTGTGAGCAAGTGCGTTGTCACAATGAAGCCAATAGCATCCCTGAAGTCACCTCTTGCAAATGGAGTGAGATTTCTGTTGAGGATGTTACATTAAAATGCCCCTGTTACGTTTTGTTCCAAAAGGAACAATGTATTAATACCATGGGCTTGGAATGTTCTCCAAATGCGGATTGATCTAACAACTCAGGCGATATTACCCTACACACACCCTTCCAAGAGGCATTTTTTAACATGTCTATGGACCCTCTTTGACCATCGATGGGATACAAGAAATAATTTGATTCTGCATCAAAATCGACTTCCTTCCAGTGATGGATGGACAGTTTCAGGTGCCCGTGGGATCACTGAACGTAGCATTCTCAGCTGATATCTCATTCCATCTCCAAGAAATGACTTTGGGGTTAACTCCAAGCTTTATCATAACTGCACACTTGCTCACACCTCTCGCCTGGCAAATGTTTGTTGGAGAAACACAATGGTCTAAGGATGGAACCACCATCTTTGAGCCCTGATATTAAACTTATTAATCAACTGTGACATGAATTGGAGTGTGCAATGCAAAGGAGAACCAACCCCATAAAAACGTGGACCAACTCCCCCAACTTGTTTAAGAAGAATGGGACAATATCCCACAAAACAGAACTGTTACCCGTGTTGAAGGCTTGTCGCGCCGTCTACAGCAGATAATTGCAGTACGTGGTAGACGCACACGCTGTTGTGCACGTGATCTTTAACGAGCACACCCTAATGCTAATTGTGTGTGAATTTGGTGACATTTGATGGCGTCTTTTCAATTTTATAGATATTTCTTTACATCTGTAGAAGTCACAGTGAAACAGTCGATTTGAGGGGATACCTCTTATAAATTTTACTAAATGNCAACTTGGGATAACCATAATGAAATGCTTGTTAAAGAAATGACTAGACGGGAAATGGTTTTACACAGCTTCACGAGGATTTAGACCCCTCGGGTAAGAGATTTGAATGAGTATAAACTTTTATCAGAAGCCAGAGAAGTCATCTTACAGGTAGACAATGCAGCTCTGTTCTCCAGTGGCTCGATTGTCGTCATCGGACCACGTAGCTCATTAACTCCCAGGCCGAGCAAATAGGACGTTTTTTAAAGCCAAAAATTTACAAAATGAGCTTTTAATTTGTGTATTTGGATAAAGATATCGTTAGTTGGGCATGTTTTCTGAAGAATATGTTCCGTAAATCCTTTAAACCTAACAGTGCTTCTACAAAGCAAAAGTGTTTGATGTAAGTCTTACATGTTGGATGTGTATATACTATCTACAATAAATCGTGAATCTGATCTGAATCGGGCTGACCTGGCAAAGCACTCTGCGGCTCGTTTTCTGCAGCACGCATTTCAGAAACACCACCTCAGGAAGTTGTTTGTCAAATAAAAAAAACCCAAGAAAGGCATTAAAGGATTTGAAGACTTAAAAAGAGAAGTTTACTCGTATTATCGTTGAAAGATGAGGTAATTTGCCTGGAGACCGGCCTTACAAATAGAAATATATACTCTACTGCTGTAAAATTATGTAAGGCGGTTCTCCAGTGATATGAGCTATTATTATTATGGTTGGGAAAATAATAAAGATTTTGTTGGAAGGTCGAATTTTTATAACACTTACGAAAGTAAGGTAGTACTGTCAGAAATACGGTACCATATTGACATTTGTCCATGTACTCTGCACGATGCTATGACTTCTTAAAACTGTTCCATCAAGGGAAAATAACAGAACTTGTGTGCCTGAATCATTTTCATTATTTAGTCACTCTAAAATAATTATTTGCTGAACAGGTATTAAGGTTGCTGCCCCAGGCTTGATGAGTGAACAGAAGTTGCATTTTCAGTATACCGAGGAATGAACTTCACTCTCTGGCTCATTGTCATGTCGTTGACTGTAAATCCATTTTATTAAAACATCAGTGTACAGAATCGTTTTTGATAAAAAACGCCCTTGTTTCAAGTTGTCAGGCTCTTAAAAAAACGACACTATTTTTGGTTGCCAGAATAGTCTTTTCAAAACACGACACTGATTTCTAAGCATCAGAATTGTTTTTGCTATATTCAATGGTGTTATGAAAATTACAATGTACATGTATACTCAAAACAGCAAAGGAAGATCGTCATAGTTACATTTTTGTAATCATTATTTTACCTCTCTGCTAGCATACAAAGACGGTGAATTCGACGGTAAGTGGCAAATAGAATACGAAATCTGTGCTGTGTTACAGCAGAAACGAATCCAGCGTTTGTAATGCGTAGTCTGTAGAATATGATGACAGCATAATGAATCTGTGGAATCTGATGACACTGGGCTGTACTTGTCTTCTGCAATGGATCAGACATTTCTCTCTTTCCTTTCGTTAGAACGTTAGGTAAGTTCATTCACGCACATGCCCCATCTCATAATTGCCTTTTTATTTCCATTGATGTAGGGTAGTGATTGCAGTAAACAACAAGGAGAAAATGCCTAAGACAAAACCACACTGGGTCCCTATTTGAGTGCCGTCCTGAACACTATGTATGTTAATGTTGTCATGGGACGAAGCTTGTTTCAAATGTAACCGAGTTACCGATCATTTTAAATCGGACATTGTCTGTATTAATTGCTTTTAAACGTAGACTTAATCAGTTTACGTTAAAAATGAACACAAACTGACCCAGCTGAAAAAGCAGACCTTCTCCCGGGCCTGCTTATACATAAAAAATTGATATTTTTCTTCTTTTGCCAAGTTCTGGTAGCTGCGAGAACATCCAAATAATAGTTAAAGTAAAGGGAATATTTAATCCGATACACTACGTTTCGACCTTCTTAAAAGGTCCCCAGGTGATCCAGTATCAGCTTAATTTTTTTCTTTATTTAAGTTTAAAACACAACTGGATGAATTGTAACATTCATTTTGAAATCAAAACAATAGATTGGCATTGCATTGCATTGTAAGTTCTCAAGTTTAAAAGTCTTTGAGGCTTTGTGAAGAGGGAACCCCCTGGGCGATAAAACGTGAAAGAAGTTCGTAAAGTTCGAAAGGTAAAATTAAGTGTATTTAAAAGTTTCAAGATTAGTCTGATGTGTGGCATGAGCACTAGACCTATAACTGTATTTTAAAGAATATCTACGTTTGTTAGGTGTAGGTTGTATCATTGTTCTTGGAAAGGCTTTGTCAGCCAAATACCAACGTGCTCATTGCTAGTTCAAGCAATTTCCTATGCAAAAGATCTCAGCATTTCTGCAAATCCCAAGCGCGTCTCACATCCCACAAAATGCTTGTGCAAGGCCTCTAGCTCAACCCAGTAATCTTTGGTAACGAAACACGGCCTGATGATGATAATTTGATATTACTAACGATAAAATAGGTGCATGTAGTGGCTATCTGAAATATTTATGATTTTTTTATGACAGAAAATTCTCTGGGGGGGGGGGGTGGGGGGGGTGAGGGTACATGAGGTACAGGAGGGGGTAAGCTTAAAGTCACACACGGTGGCATATCATGGTTTTTCATCATTTTCATTTTAATATTGATTTAAATCATCAATGTCACCAATAAGGAAAAGGCAGTTGAAAACATGAAGTATATTTGTATTATTTTTCACGATAGCTCATGACTACCAAGTATCATTTTGACATTGGGTCAATCAGCTGGTAGTCTAACATTTTGATTCAAATTTGCTAAAATGCTTAGAAGAATTTCAACACCGAATTTTGAATTTTGATTGTTTAGGTATTACAACGAATAATTTTTTCAGTATTCTGAAGCATAAATATTTTATGGATTATGAAAATTTATAAGTACACATGTTAGAACTTGTTTTCTGTAGGCTTAACAATATACATGTATCTGTTAACAGATTCTGCTTCTGTCTGGCACCCGTCTGCCATTGATGCACTACAGAGTGAACTTTTACAAAGATCAGGTTATCAAGTCACGGCAGAATACCTTCACAAGGCAAAATGACTGGATTGCAGATCGTAAAGATGAACTAGCCGAGAAAGAAACATTGCTGGTAGCTTTTCATATATATATTCTGTACAATAACAAGGTGTTTGGGGAATATTTACCAGATAAAATATTTAATTCATTGGACTACTACTGATTTTATCTTGGGTCAAATAAAAAGTATTGGCCAGGAAGTTGAGACCAATTTTCATTTTTTTAGATATTGTGTGAAACAGGGCCTAGATTTTTTACTTATCCACGGGCTATGCTTATCTTAAGGTTTTTTGGATGGATAACAGACTTGAAAGTTACTGCATGTGCTGTCCTTTTGCAATGTTAGGTCCAAAATTGAAACCTGACATTGCAGACTTGATGGCTTATGTCCGTTTTGAATACCGGATTAAGTTAAACAGTATTATTTTAGTTCAAGTGAAATGACTAAGAATTAAATGTTTTTCAGAAAATGATGAATTGTATCTTATAACACATTTTAATGATATGGGCAGGGCTATTGGGACCATTACAGTGCACAGATAAAAGTGCCCATGGTTTGGTATTTATTCCTGTTAAAGTGTGAGAGTGCACAATGTTTTCTACTGCTTTTTAAATGCTTTTTTTCTAAGAATATGAAAAGGTTTGCTTTTTGTTTCTTACGGCATTATGCCCTGTTTTTTTATTTTTACCGTGTTATGTTTTATGTGTTATGTATTGTTTCATGTAATAATGGAAATTAGGCAGTGATGCCTGTACCTGTTGCTGTACAAAATGTTACAAACAAAATATCAAATTCCCTGAACCTTCCTGAAGCATGTGAGACTTGATGAAATGGAAAGTGACAATCACACGAGTCTGCTAACCAGTACTGAAATTATTTAGTGCACTTTTTGATTAAAAAATAGTTCTTTGTTTTTGAATTGATTACTCGGAATTTTAACTGTGAATGTGGCAGCCATAATGTCAGTCCAACTTACGGGAGAAACTGGCACTTATCTTGAAGGAGGGGATGATACTAAAAGTTACGTGGTACAATTTCTTAAAAATACATGGGGGTGGGGTTGATGAGTCCTTAACTGTAGTTTAAGCTTAAATTTTTTACTTGTTAATACTGAATTTGTTCATAACCTGGGGCCCGTTTCCCGAAGCTGTCGTTTGTTAGAATAGTATAGTTATTTTGTTTCCAACATTCCTGTTAAGATAATCAGAATCATCGTTGCATCTCTGTAATTTAACATTTAATTAATTGGATTTCATGGTCAGTGTTGTTGTGAAATCAAGATACAAGTTCATACAGAAGCGTTACATTTAATTTTAAAAAGTACACAGCGTGATCACCTCAGCATAAATAAAAATTTAAAAATGTGAAAAACCACCTAAGTCTCCAAACTAACAGTGCTAAAATAAGAAAGTGTCCAAACAGCCAGCTATAAACATTTTAGTTACTAATTAGACTAACTTTGACTTCAGCCACTTCAGTCAATGATAATGGTGACTTGACAAAAAATTCAGACAACCACTGACATAGAGTTAATTTTCAAATGCTGGCAATACTAGGCATCAAAGATAACATATATAGATGCATTTAGAAACAGAATAAATAACATCTACTGTATGTTAGTTGAATGGTAAAAAAATTAATTCTAAAAAATCAGTTATTTTCATAAACAAAATGACGAATGAATGATTTTTTCAAAAAGCATATTGTGCAACAGTGAACCTCCTAATAGTTTTGAATTTCTATTTATTAAAAACACGATATGGGATTAGGCCTAAACATTTAATCATTATCTGCACAAAAAAATGCCGAATGTAGGCCCCTACCTGGGGCCGGTTTCACAAAGCAGTAGTTAGTTAGAACAACTAACTACTGAACTACCTCGCTAACGAGCAAACTTAGCGATTTTCGAGGGGTGTTTCACGATGCAGTAGTTAACTTATCGCTAAGTTCAGTCGTAAAGTTCGGTCGCTAGTTCTCTCGTTACTCACCGTAGTCTCGAAACCATCTTCCGGAAGTGGAACTCTTGCGTAAAAGTGTCACGAAAGCACTAACTCTCCAATTTTTGGTGGCTGGAAATGCATAAGAACGTCTGCTTTGAGGTCGTCGTAAAGGATCTCCACCACCTTTTTGCCGCTCTTTTTGTCACAGCTAAGCGCAACCTCTCGTAAATTGCATCATCGTATGTATATTATAATAGATTCTGCCTTTCATGAATACGTCGTAGTCTACGTTGCCGTCTGGCGGTACGGATAGCAAGAAAGGTAGCCGCCATAATTCGATACAAAGACAAACGACAGACAACGGTAACTAAACAACCTTTTTATTTCACTCATTACGCATGCGTACGATGAAACTCTAGAGTTAGCGACTGGTCTGATCAGTCGTTAAATATCCAAGGCAACAACGAGACAATAACGAGCGAGAGAACTAGCGATTGCTTCGTGAAACAGCACTCATAACTAGCGAGGGGCTAACTACCGATCGCTAACTAACTACTGCTTTGTGAAACCGGCCCCTGGTGATTGCAATATATATGTATTTTAATAAAAGAGACGACTAGTAACTTTTAAGAAGATGAAATATATTTTTTTGGAAAATTGGAAAAAAACCTTACAAGGTAGGCCTACATGTGCAATGTATCAGATTTAGATAAGAAACAACGTCTTGGCTGTTATTATGTTCGGTGTGTTTTAGAGAACATCTATCACTCCTGCCACCAATCACATAGGGCCTATAGATAATAAAATAGATTCTAAAGATATCATATATCATGCGATACACGTGGAAAAAATCTCTCATAGATCGATAAACTGTCACTTTTTATAAATTTTAAGGAAAAGCACTTTAAAATCAATAAGTTATATAAATAAAATATAGCATAAAAGAATGAACCGATTACTGAAAATATTTCCATGTCAACAGTATGGATTCGTACCCAAAAAATTACTGTTGTGTGTGTGTCCTAGTGCCATCTACAAACAATATCTTTATGTCTACGATACATTCACATGCATATCCTTAATTTTCAAAACTGGCAATACTAGGCATCAAAGATAGCATGTATATGTATGCATCGGTTTAACAAAAAGTTATTCAAAGGAACAGAAATATGACATCTAGGTTAGTTAAATGGTGCAAGATAAATTAGAAAAATTCAAAACAAATTCAGCAATTTTCATCTAAAGAATGATATTTTTTTTTTGAAAAAATAATACTCTGCAACAGTTAACCTCCTACTGTTTATGAATTTCTGTTAATTAAAAACCGATATATGACTCATAATTTAATAATTTTCTGCACAAAAAATATTCAATGAACCTGGTGATTAGAATGTAAATTTCTGAATAACAGAACATTTTTGTAACCTTTAAGAAGTTGAAGAATAATTTTAAGAAAATTTCAAAAACACCTTACAACTTACATAGCCCAATACATCTGATTCAAACAAAAAACAATGTGGGATGTTAGTATATTTGGTGTGTTCGACAGAACATCTATCACTCCTGCCACCTATCACATGCTTTAGGTAATAAAATGAAGGATATTATATCATGCAATAAACGAATAGAAACTTTATCATATATTGATTGACATATTGTAGCTTTTTAAAAATAAATTTTGAGTAAAATGCGCTTTTAAATTCATGACATATTTTTAAATTCAAGCATAAAAATAATGAACCTCTTAAAATATTGCAATTTATCAATCAAAACAATTACTGTTGCCAGTGTGTGTATGCGCGCGCCCGCTACGCACAATATCTTTATGTCGACGATACATTCAACTTCCTCCTCTCCCCTCCAAAACATTAACCTCAGTCCTTTCGTCCTTCAGATCCCTGAAAAAACTACAATTAAGAGAATTAATTGTATTTATGTAGCAAATGGTTTGTTTTAGTGGTGCTATTAACTTTTTGGTAATACATCAACGTTTTGTTTGGGTCTTGTGTCTGCACGTTTTGACCTTAAGTAGTTAACCAAGACAAGGTGTTAACAGATGTCCAGGGTTAAGGAATGTCTTAGCTGCTGTGTATCAAGGCACACACAAGTATATTCTATGAAAGATGTTTTGGAGATTAATTCCATCGAGCTGCATTCAGTGAGAAGTCATTCAGCTTTGTAGCTGCGGATATATTTACCCGCAGTTTTAGCAGCTACACTGTATTATTACTTACGTTTCTTTATTGTTATTTGTACACCCTCCACCCTCCCCTACCACCTGCCTTCATCCTTGTGGTGTTTTTAACACTTAGACTTATTTACTTTCAAGCGGCACCTGTGTGACATAATTAAGGGGGGCACCTATTTGGACAGTGCCACTTTGCCTCTGGTGGGCCTGCTAATCAGAGGCATATGAGTTCAGTTATTCAGGAGACAGTTAATGCTCTCCCTCACTTTTCTCGTAAAATTCACAACATTAAGAAGTGCATTATTCAGGAGTTTTCGGCCTTTTATTTTCATTTGCGCCAACTTTTTGCTCCTATAGCTGTTGTGATTTCTCATATTTTTCATAATTAATCCTGGTTACATTTCATTAACATACTTATTATTTTTATATTTAGCGCTTATATAGTTTGGGGGATGTTTATTATCTCCCCAGTTTTGTAACTTTGTATCTTATTAGTTTTCGTCATTAATAAATGACAATTTCAGTCATATGGACTTATCCTACTTAATTTGGAGCAAAAACAGAGCTTCGTTGTGCTTGTGAACATTTGGCTACATAAACTGTCTTTTCCTGTAACGGTACTACTACGACATAGCAATGTCTACTTTTCACATTAAAAACAGTGCCAACAACCAACTATAACCACGAAAAATTAAAATTTATAATATACTATTTCATCCACAATCTTCTGGAAATTACTTATAATGGAATCTTTTGCGGGTTTCCTCTTCGAGGAATTTCTCCATTTTGCTTGCGGTTGGTCTTTCAGATGGAGTGGGGGAAAGCAGTTTTTCTAAATTCTTGCACCATATAGGAGGCGGCGGTGTAAAACCCTCAAGGGTAATAAGTGATGCCCAATCAAGCTGGAAATGAAAATAAATGTTTAACCTTTCCTCACAATATAAAATATTAACAATGGGAAAATGTGTTAAATTATTATCTTCTAGCAGGGTGGCAGATATTAAGGGCAAATTTTCCAAAAGCCTCCCTGTAACTTTTGGCCAGACGGAAGCAATTAAATATGCATGCGCAAAGATGACATTGTGCCCACTCTGTGGGGAGCTACTGCAGGAAATTTGTCAGTTAACTTCAATCTGTAGTAACAAGCCATTTAGGGGTTAAATTTATTTGTCAAGTGATTAAAAT